CACCTCTGCATCTGCAGGAGACCACACCTCTGCATCTGCAGGAGACCACACCTCAGCATCTGCAGGCAATCCTACCTCAGTTTCTGCAGGATACACCAACTCAACCTCTGCAGATTCCCACTCACCATCTTCTGGAGACCCAAATAAAAAATCGCAGGGAGACTCCAACTCAGCCTTTACAGGATTTCCCAACTCAGCCTCTGCAGAACACCCCAACTCAGTCCCGGCAGGAGACCACAACTCGGCCCCTGCACGAGACGCCCAATAAACCTCTGTGGAAGACTGTAACTCAGCCTAAGCAGAAGACCGGAAGCATGCCTTGGCTGAAGACCCCAACTCAGCCGTGGCAGAAGGCCTCAACTCAGCCTCTGCCGAAGCCCTCAAATTGGCCTAATACAATGAAAACTCAGCCTACACGTAGGCCACAGTTAGAGGCTGTGGCTAAACCTCCAACAACAGGATATCACCCAGTGTCACAATTTATAGAGACTACTACTCCAAAGCACAGTGAAGTGACACTTGGACATCCATACAGGTTGCAAACTCAGCATTCAACCTTGACTCAAGGCACAGTTAAACGATTGACTCAATTTCCAACAACCACCATCACAGAAAATGCTTTAGCTGTGCAAACGGAACAGAATGCCCCTTCAAGCATCAAGTTATGTGAGCTCTGTCACTGCCAAAACCAGACACTGTCATGTGTGGATCTCAGCCCAGGGCAGAGGCTCCGCCAAGTTCCTGTGCCAGATATGGACCCCAAGAAGCAACTTTTCACTGTCTTGCAAGTATCCCCCTACCTCCTTTGTGCTGGGCATTCTGCCTGGCATTCTTTTTCTAAAGTTTTTTGTCCTCTCTCCAATCCAGTATTGAGTAATGTTGACTTTTACTGTTTTCTTAATTTTTTAGATTGGTTGTGGGGCTTGAACTCAGGGCCTGGCCACTGTCTCTGAGCTTTTCAGCTCAAGGCAAACCCTCTACTACTTGAGCCACAATGTCACTTCCCTTTTCTGACGGTTTATTGGAGATAACAAGTCTCACATACTTTTCTGACCCAGCTGGCTTTAAACCAAGATCCTCAGATATCAGCCTCCTGAGTAGTTAGGATTGGAGGCATGTGCCTCCTGGCTTTCTTTTCTTATTTTTTAGGTTGGTTGAGGGGATTGAACTCAGGACACCTGGGTACTGTCTCTAAGCTCTTTTGCTCAAGACTAGCATTTTACAAGTTCAAGCCACAGCATCACTTCCAGTTTTCTAGTGGTTAGTGGAGATAAGAATCTCGTGTACTTTTCTGCCCGGCTGGCTTCAAACTGAGATCCTCACATTTCAGCCTCCTAAGGACTAGGATTACAGGCATGAGCCACCCGTGCCTGGCTGGCTTTTAAACTTTTCACTTCTTCATTTTCCTTGTTCTCATCTTCCTATTGTATCCACTTGCCAAGCTTTTATTTGAGGCTGCCCCTTGTCTGCTTCCATGAAGATTCCGAGTCACAGAAGTTCTGATGCAAATACAAAATTGTAGCATTCTCTAAAAAGAACAACAGAGAAAAATCACTGACTGACAAAATGTGGGCATGAGTGTACCAAACAGGACTCTATACTTTCTGTCCTGAATGAATGAACCTGACAGTGATAGAAACAGAGTAGTCAAGAAAGGAAAACCAGTTCATGAGAAAGGAGTTCAGTTTGGTCTTGCAGTTGAATGGAAAAGTCTACTAGGCAGATGAGCAGACTTAAATCTTCTCTACTTCACTACCAGACAAAGAATATATGAACTGAGCAGGAGAGTTATAGCAAAGACTAAGGATTGATTAAGGTACCTCAGTAGCTTCTAGTAAACATGTGCTTTTGCCAAGCAATGGTGGCTCACACCTGGAATTCAGCTACTGAACAAGTTCAGATCTGAGGATTATGATTCAAAGCCAGTCCCAGTTGGAAGGGTTGTGAGGCTCTTATTTCAAATTAACCAGCAACAAGCCAGAAGTGATAGAATACTATCCTTAAGCAAGAAAAGCTTAGAGACAGGACCCAGGCCCTAAGTCAAAGGCCAAACAGAATCAGAAAAATTTATTTTTCAATCAGTATTAGCCTTAGTTTTTCTTTTCTATTTTCTGTTGTTTTGGTTGACAATGGGGAGTGAACTCAGGGCCTGGGGCCTATCCCTGAGCTCTTTGCTCAAGGCTAGTGCTCTAATACTTGGAGCCAAAGAGCCACTTCTGGTTTTCTGGTGGCTACTTGGAGATAAGAATCTTTCAGGGTTTCCTTCCCAGGCTGGAATTGAATGGTAATCCTCAGGTCTCAGTCTCCCGGGTGGGGAGGATTACAGGCGTGAGCCTCCAGCCTCTGCTCACATGTGTTTTCATATGTACATTCCAGCTTCCAAAAAAATAACAGAAACCAGTTTTGCAGTACACATGCTTAATACACACACTGTAGAGAGAGGGGGGAGAGGAAGTAAGAGAGGGAGAGAGAGGGAGGGAGGGAGGGAGTGATAAAGAGAGAGAGAAGAGAGAAGGGAGAGTGAGAGGAGAATTCAATGCCAGTCTTGTCTTTACCAGCTCTTGTCTCAAAAACCAAGGGCTGATGACCAAGCTTAGTAACAGAGCCTTGTATACACAAGATTCTGTGTTCAATCCCTAGTGCGTGCCTGTGTGCATGGGCATGCACACACACATACACAATTTATAGATATATAGAGAATAAAATCTAAAAGCATACAGTTCTTCCCTATCCTGTTTATTACTCCATCTTACATGCCATACTTCCAATAAGATTAAACCTCTTACCATTTTCTTTCTGATGTCTGTCTTTGGCATTTTTTTTCCTGATGAGGTAATAAAACTTAACTCTTGTCTCAATGAATCATGCTTTTCCCTGTATGAAACATGTCTCTGAGCTCTTCCCTCATCAACATACTAACTCCTCTAATTTCTATTATTCCTTACCTTTCCAAGACATACTTCCTTCTAAGGCTTCATCCTCCTTAATGGCATTTAAGCACAGCTTTGGTACTACCTGACAGAGAGGTTTTTATTCCTGTTTTCCAACAATATACATCTGTCCCTTTTTCTGTCACCATTTTCTTATTGATTTAGAAGTCAGTTTAAACACAAATGATTCAGGAAAATTACATCCGGGGTAATTGGAACTAGACATGCACGAGATTGATTGGACAGACAGGAAATTAAAAGCTTCTGTTGAGGAGCCTCTTCTTTCCTGCCAGTGGACCCACTTTTTTACTTTGGTGTGCAAATCATAGCTTCAGAAAGTAGAAAAAGTTGGGTTTTCCCCTGCATTTGATTATGCCTCATGAGGTTGCAATGACTTTTTCTTCCTCTAATCTTTTCCTATTTATTCCTCGATATAAACTGTTTCTCCATAGAAATTTCAAAGGAAACAAAATTTCTTATATTGAAGAAAATATATGGGCATCATACCGTTGGACTGAGAAACTGTGAGTATATTCTCTTCAAATATGAATATGACACTACTGTAAGACCCTCCTTGGCCCAGAATCTTGAAGGGAGTACCTTTGAGAAAAGCCATTGCCCCTCCATATCCTAATCAACCTCTACTGACTGAAATTCTGCAAGTATTTGAACATCAAGCTTATGGGTACTTGGGATATTGTTAAGGGGCAGAGTGCTTGTCTTGCATGCAGGATGAGGCCTTTCAACTATCATGCAAAATAAAGTTTCATGGACCCATTTTGAACTAAGTATTGTGGCAAGTTGAAATCATTCTCTATTGTACAAGGGATGGATGCTTACATTCTTAGTGGATAAAACTGATGTTAATAACAGAATGAAAACTATACCTGAAACAAGAGTATAGTAGAAAGACGTTTTCCCAGGCAATTGTGCACTATTTTACTATATTTGCATATGTATTTACTGTACTTTTTACATATAGTAGAATAGGTTTGTGGTATCATTTTCTTACTAATGGTAACATACTGCAAGTTGATTTTTACATTTCATAACATATGCTATTAATCTTAACATAGAGGATTATCCTATTTCTTTAAGTGTTTGCAAAACATTCCATAGTTTGGATGCCTTGTGCTGTATTTCCTATTTCCCATAATATTTAGAGAATTCCCCGTTAGCTTGTTGCATTCAAGGCTACAGTGAACAACCCCATACATACTTCTTTGTGAATCTAGACAAATCATTCAGCAGAATAATCTAGAAGCAGGATTTTATTATGAACACTATGGTACACATGAAATGTCAATTGGCCTCAAAAAAGGTGTGCCACCATACACTCTAGGCAACAGAAAATGACAGCCTTTCTTTTCCCATAATGTATCTCTCTATTCAATATATTTCCCAATGCTGGATGAATTTAGATCCAGAAATAACCTTTTTATCTTCCAGAATTCTCAGTGAAAATCGCCTTACTGAATTACATAAGGATTCATTTGAAGGACTCCTATCTCTTGAATATTTGTAAGTTAGTAAGTTTATTTGTAATTATGTATAAATTATTCAGATTATTGAAATCCCTTCCAGCAATCAATTCTGCAGCTATGTAAGAATGTGTCTAGCAATAAGTACTTACTATTCATTATCAGATTAATTATACAGATAACATATAGACAGGGAAAAACTGTCCTTACTGAGAAAAATGGTACTAAGACCTCAACAATTCCTGATACTCATAAAAATGTTTTCTTAAAAATACACAGTCTGGGGCTGGGCATGTGGCTTAGTGTCAGAGTGCTTGCCTAGCATGCATGAAGCCCTCAGCCCTCAGGGCTCAATTCCTCAGTACCACATAAACAGAAAAAGCTTGAAGTGGTGCTACGGTTCAAGTGGTAATGCTAGCTGTGAGCAAAAGATCAGGGACAGTGCCCAAGTCCTGAGTTCAAGCCCCAGGACTGGCAAAAAGAAAAAAGAAAAAGTACAGCCTGGCCAGGCACAGATGATTCATGCATCTAGCTCTAGCTACTCAGGAGGCTGAGATCTGTGGATCCCAATTTCAAGCCAACTGGGGCAAAAAAGTCCAGTAGACTCTTATTAACCACCAGAAAACTAGAAGTGGTACTGTGGTTCAAGTGGTAGAACACTAGCCTTGAGAAAATTTATCTCAGGGACAGCAGCAGGCACTGGATTCAGCCCCAGCACCAGTGCACGGGCACTTGCGTGCGTGCACACATCTCCACTTCCAGGACAAAATCAGAAGGGAAAGTGCAGCTCTAGTGGTAGAGCAAGGGACAGCATCCAAGGCCTAAGTTCAAACCTCAGCACTGACACCAAAAACATATAATATATATATATATATGTTTCGCCTCATTTTTATGCTTTGTCCATGGGGTCCAAAGATCCATTCTCATTAAGCTTATGAATGTTTCCATTAATCAGGCTCCTACCGTAATGAGCTATTTTCAAGTTAATTTGTTCAAAAATAGAAGAGAGTATCAAGTGATTTGCATGACACAAAAAAATAATTCTTTGAATTATCAACCCTGCTAGGTTCTAAGGTGATGACTAGTTTTTGTCATTGTCGTTGTTTGTTTTTCCCCAGTCCTGGGGCTTGAACTCAGTGCTTGGGCACTGTCTCCTCTGAGCTTCTTTTGCTCAAGGCTAGCACTCTACCACTTGAGCCACAGTACCACTTGTGGCTTTTTCTGTTTGTGTGGTTCTGAGGAATGGAACCCAGGGCTTCATGCATGCTAGGCAAGGACTATCACTAAGCCACATTCCCAGCACATGATGCCTAGTTTTCTACTGACTCTTTGTGGCCTTTCTGCCACCTGGGCTCTCAAACCTCCAAACATGGTTGGAAGGAAACAAATAAGAAAACTCTCCATGAAATCATCCCTTTGCTTCTCCTACCATGAAATGCATTGCAAGCTATTTATATCACACTACCGTGTATATCATCATTCACCAATAAAAAAGGAGATAAATTGGCTGTGTCTAGATTGGAGCAAACAAAGATGAGTAAGGCAGGGATCTACCCTCTAAGAACTCATGGGCTTAAAAGGTCAAGCAACAGTGCAGCAGAAGTGCAGAAAAGGTGTACTGCCAGCAAAGAGCTCAATGTGGACGTATGGTTCTAGTCATAGGGCATGAACTTCTAAGAGAAAAAGCCTAGCAACAGTGCAAGGCCCTGTGTTCAAGCCCTAGTACAGCCCTATAGGCTATACATATAACAGATATGCAATGACTATCTTACACATTGTATATAAATATACGTTATATATAAATATATAGAACCTTACAGTATATATTATATACAGGGCTTACAACCTTGAGCTTAATTTGATGAGAATACAAAATATTACCTGTTCGTTGTTCTGCTCTCTTGAAAGATTATCCAAAATCCATCAGTATCTATAATTACATGTTTCATTGATCAGATGATCATGATGAATAGGTGTAACTATTAGGTGTGCCCAGACTTACTTGATAAAAGAAAGTAAAAATCCAAAGCTTTATAATTTAGAAATAATTGTTATGTGTTCAATATTATATGTCTTAAAGTCTACTATTTAATCATCCTCATTAGATATCTAATAGATTCTGAGTATAATATTTTCCTTTTTCTTTTTCTAGAGATTTGTCCTGCAATAAAATACAGTCAATTGAAAGACGGACATTTGAATCATTGCCTTTCCTGAAGTTCGTGTAAGTTGCAAATAGAACTTCATTATCTCAGGCTGGGAATGTGGCTCAGTGCTAGAGTGCGTGCCTAGCATGCATGATTCCTGGGGTTTGATTCCTCAGTACCACATGAACAGTAAAAGCAGAAGTGGTGCAGTGGCTCATGTGGTAGAGTGCTCAGGGACAGTGCTCAGGCCCTGAGTCCAAGCCCCAAGGCTCGCCCTCTCACACCCCCAAAGAAGTCATTATTTCACATATATCAGCTCCTTTTGAAATAGAATTAAATTTTGCTAGTATAAAGTTACTATATGTATGTATGTATGTATATATATATATATATATATATTGGGGCTGGGAAGTGGCTCAGTGGCAGAGCGCTTGCCTTGCATGCCTGAGGCCCTGGGTTCGATTCCTCAGTACCACATAAGCAAAAAGAAAAAAGCCGGAAGTGGCACTGTGGCTCAAGTGGTAGAGCGCTAGCCTTGAGCTGAAGAGCTGAAGGACAGCGCCCAGGCCCAGAGTTCAGGCCCCACGACTGGATCCCCCCCAAAAAAATACATATATATATATATATATGAAATTCTTTTAGACTAGCAAATATGAGTGTGAGAATCATTATAGGTCAGACAGAATCATTACAAAGCAGTTGTTCTCAGCCAATGAATGGCCTGTACCCAGAAGTCATTTAGCAACTGTGGATATGCTATGTGCATGTACTGGGCAGACATGTCTAGAGGGATGCTGATGTCCTGGTTGCATCCTACAATGGACGGGACAAGGCTCCACAGCAAAGAACTGTGCAGCCCAAAATGAGTGGATATACAAAAACCTGTTGTCCATCAATGAGGGTCACTTGACACTGCATGTGTAAATATGAAAGCAGAAATCACAAGCCAGGATGGTCCACAGGAAGATTTCTTTAAAATACAGGGAAGTAACAGAATTGTTTCATTATATGTAAATTAGAATCAGTGTGAGCTGATAAAGTTCTGAAAAAGATGTCTTTTTTCCTTCTTTTTTGGCTTATGGTTTTTATTGTTTGTTTTTTAGAAATCTCGGTTGCAATTTAATCACAGAAGTGAGCTTTGGAACATTCCAGGCATGGCATGGGTTGCCGTTTTTACACCAGATGTAAGTGGTATAGATGATAAACATGTTAAATAAAACATATTTACATTTTGAAAACCTAATATTCTTAAGAGTGAGCTGGGTGTAATGACTATGTGAACTCTCAGATGTATGTCTTTTGGATACATTCATTTTTTAGAAGTATTTTCATTGTTATTATTAAGTAGTTATAGTAAGGGGTTGCAGTTCCATGTCAGGTTATGCGGACAGTGCTTCTTGACAATGTCACCCCTTCCTTCATTCTCCCCCAATTTCCTGCTCCAATCCCCACCCACAAGTTACATAGTTTACTTTTCACATTGTGCACATTGAATACAATGATGGCACTTGCTCACCTTTCCTCCATCAATTCCTGTACTCCTCCCTCCACCCCCCACAAAAAACAAAAGAATACTTGTTTGCATTTCACTTCTAGTATTTTTGATGAGCAGTACTTTAGTTGGGCAGAGGAGTTATGCTACCCTCTTTTAGTCAGTCCTGTATGTGTTATCATGCCTAGTTGTATTTTAGATCTAGCTTCCACATATGAGAGAAAACTTGTGTGCTTTGTCTCCCTGAGCCTGGCTTATTTCACTTAACACAATTTTGATCTAGGTTTATCCATTTCCCTGCAAATGACACAATCTGATTCTTTCTAATGGATGAGTAAGATCTCATTGTGTATCGGTACCACATTGTCTTGAATCCAGCTCATCGGTTGAAGGGCATCTGGGCTGTTTCCATAACTTGGCTACTGTGAATAGTACAAGTGTCTTTACCATATGCTGACTTCTGATATTCTGGGTAGATACCCAAAAGTGATATCATTTTTTTTCTTCAAATGAGGGAACAAAATAAGATACACAAGGCTACGAGACTCATGACTAGTCACACAAGCACCAGGTTCTGTGCCCTTACTTCAGATCTTTGGCCAGGAAAACAGAAGACATCAAGCATGTATTAGCTCTGTCATGGGAGCCAATAGCTGCTCTGATCAATGTGAGGTTAACATTCATTGCTTCTCCACTGCAGAGTGACTGCCTAACTGCTCACATGTCAGTGAGGCAGAGCTGCAAAGATCAACACTGATCACCAAGTCTTCCTGGAAGTAAAAGGGTGGCTGACTTCTCAGTGTCAGTTTCTTCTCAGAGTGACACAGGGCACTTCTCTCAGTCAGTCAGAATGTTATTTTTCAAGTATGTACCTCTGAAATTGTCAATTACCTTGGGCAATAGGAACCTCTGAGGTATAGAAAAAGCTATACATTCAAAAAGAAAATACATTGCTCTAGACTGATTCTATGCATTTTCTTTCCTGACTACCTTCAACAAAAAATATGGGTTTTTATTTCCTTTCAGTTAAAAAATGGTATGCTGTTTGCCAGATGTGGTGACATACAGCTGTAATCCAGCACTCAAGAGGTGTAGGCAGGGGACCTATAGTCCAAGGCCACTCTGGGCTACATGTCAAAATTCTACCTCAAAAAGAAAAAGACTGTGTGGTTCAAAATGTTCCAAAGGAAATTATGAATCAAGGTGAAATTCTCCTCTAAACTTGTCTCTGTGAAAGGCTACTTGTGGATCAGGAAATTCAGGTTTCTAGAAGGTGTTTGGTGTTGGTGGAGGATTGAGATGTGGCTGGAATCTAAGATTTGGTTGCCTGTGCTGGCTTGAATCTCAATCCTCAGATATCAGCTTGAGTAGCTAGGACTACAGGTGTGAGCCACCAGTGTCTGGTTTGAACGGCTTATTTTAAAACATCTTTTTAGCCAGAAGCTGATAGTACATACCTTGTAATCCTAGCTACTCTGGAGGCTGAGACCTAAGGATTACAGTTCAAAGCCAGCCAGGGCAAGAAAGTCCATGAGACATGAGACCCTCACCTCCAGTTAACCACCAGAAAACTGGAAGTGGAACTATGGCTGATAGTGCTGGAGCAAAAGATCTCAGGCACAGATCCCAGGCTCTGAGTTTAAGCCCAAACACACACACACACACACACACACACACACACACACACACACACACACACACACGTCCTTTAATCACTTCATTGGTTCTCACAGTGCTCACTCCATGATTTTATTTTATTTTTTCGGTCCGGTCGTGGGCCTGAACTCTGGGTCTGGGCGCTGTCCCTCAGCTCTTCAGCTCAAGGCTAGCACTCTACCACTTGAGCCACAG